CTTGAGTCATTGAATGTTCATCTGTGTCTTTCTAAGTATGCATAAGCATTTTGCTCGGATATCTCCAGGTCCTCAAAGAAATTCTGAAACAGGTTTTCATTTGAGTGACTTAAGGATTTACTTTGATGACAGCCCAAACATTCTTGCAACAGAATAGTCAATCCTCCAGACCTGTTCATCTTGTGAATTGATTACTATTGTTCCTCCTCCAAAGCATCCACTATTGACTGTGCATCTCTCAACTGAATTTGAGTAAAACTGCCTTCTCATGGACATGACTTGATTCCCCATTTGACATCATCATTTCCACACCAGTACAACTGAGTTATCAGGGTTTGCTTGGACCAGGCTATTAACAAAATTAGTTTAAGTATTTTTTTATCTGGTGTGCAATTTACTTCAACTTTACTACTTGGAAATTTCCAGAAATAAGACATACGTAATATCAGTGTATCAGTCTATCAACTAGTTTAGAATTTCCTTCTTGGTGTTCTTCCAGCACTCCCATTATACCCTATACCTCTTTATGGTATTAGTTACCAAAATTGCCCCATGACAAGGATGACCATACAGTTTTATCATTTAAATTGTGCGTTAATCAGCTTTGCATCTCTGTGACCAAAAGAACTGACCAGAACAACTCAGAAGAGGAAAAATTCATTTTGGCTCATGGTTTCAGAGGTGCAGTCCATGGTTGGCTGACTCCTTTGCTCTGGGTCCAAGGTGATGCAGAATATCATGGCCGAAGGGTATGGCAGAGGAAACCTGATCAGCTCACAGCAGATGAGAGAGAGGCGATCCAGGGACAAGATATAGTCCCCAAAGGAATGTTGCCAGTGACCCACTTTCTCTGACCGTACCCCCCCTGCCTACAGTTGCCTTCCAGTGGTCCACTCAAATTACTAATCCTTCAAATGAAGTAATCTACTAAGGAGATTCTGACTCTAATCATCCAATCTTTTTCACTTCTGGACATTGCTGCCACACAAGCTTTTCAGGGGACATTCCAGACCCAGACCATAACACTGGAACACTTTGGGGAATGAAAGGAAAAATGTTAATAATTAATCTAGAACAGTGGAAACCGGCTGAGATGCTCCTTAGAAAACTAGGCCACTCTCATTTTAACCAATGCATTCATTTGGTTCCTCGTCCAGGCATGAAGCCTCACGCCGTGCTCAGTTCATTCCCTGCTCTGTCTCCAGCATCTTCCCAACACAGGGAAGGTCCTTCACTTCAGCAGTGGCCCTGTATCAAGGATATACAGATGAAATGGTCTTCCAAAGTCCTCTCATTGTAGCCACCAGCATATGACATACATGTTAGTATTTCATCATGAAGCTACTTGTCCAGCCACCCCTTTTTGCCTAGCCAACTGCTTGTCCTTCAAGACCTCTAAATCCAAATACGCGAGGGGACATTTTTGAAGCCCAGTATCACTCTATCCTTACATCTTTGTGTTCATCATGCTTCCTTATAGAATGAAATTCTATAAGAATTCCATAAGAATTCCTCATGGAATTCTTAACCTTTGAGCCTATAAGCTCCTCTGGACTTTCTTTGATTTTTACATGAGCATTTACGTTGGAACCTGCTACAGGATATGGAAATAATACTTGTTATTTAGATGAACAGACAGATTGATTCCTTAGTGGAAAAATGAACTAATTAGAATGAAAATGTAAAAATCCCTTACACCAACTTGCTGTTTAGTTTGCTTGATATTAATTATGTAGATATTTGGTAATATCTATATAGCCTGTGTCCTGCACACAGAGTCTAAAATAAACTTAGAGGCATTTCCACATATTAGCAAGGTAAAACTTATTATATTATATCATAAAAGACTTAATCTGATGCTAGTGTCACTAATGGCATGATGTGTTTAAAAGTGAGGACAGGGCTAATGTTCATATAAAAATCATCAGGTGGTATTTGTTGTGGTTAGTATTTTTTTATTCAATCTCAGGGGAGAACAAAAAAGAGTGATTAAGAGCCTAGAAAATAGAATTCATAAGAAAAGGTGAGAGCAATTGGAATTTTTTAGCCCACACGGAAAAAAAAATACATAGTCATTCAGTAAAACCTAATTTTCCAATATCAATTTGTACAAATGAGGGCATAATTTAAACTGACAGCTATATTTTCAATGAACATATGACCTACTATTCTTTATAAAATAAAAAAAGAAGAATCATTTAAATATTTTTTTTTCTTTTTGACCTTTTCATTTTTAGACTACTAAATATGCTGGGTCACGTCCCTCATGGAGGTGGAAGCAGCAGTTTATCAGATATGATCAAGGGGGTCCTGCCCCACCCTTCTCTTGTCCTGAATTTGCTAGTTTCTAAAATGAGGTGTCTATTCATTCTTTCAAGTTTGTTTGAGGGAAGTTTACTATATGCCAGGCTCTGCGCTAAGCATTAGGAACATAGAAGTCGTGACAGACAAGATGTTTGCATTTTTATGAGATGTTTCACTAAATCTCTCCCTACCAAGCTTAAAGATATCTGGAAATCTATTAGAAAGTCACATTCCCTGCCAAAGTACACATACTCAGAGGTTGGGGGAAGGAAAGCAGCAAATTTGGCTATTATCTGGATTTTTGCCCCCAATTATTGTTCAGATGGATCACCGTTCAAGGGTAAATGAGATGCAAATCTCAATTAATTAAAATTAATTTGTTTTAAAATATAAAGACAAAAGGAATTTTTTTAAAACTTAGGCTCAAAAAATATTAGAGCTAAGAAGTTTATAATATTAAGCTGAGAAAAGTTAATTGATATGCACAGGTTAACACAGTATGTTAGTAGCACATTCATGATCATAATTTAATCTTCTAAATATCTTCTAAGTCTTTATATTATCTAAGGACTATTATCTAGTGCTCCCACCCCCCATTTTGTTGGTAATCATATTCAGTTACTAATATTAACTATTAGTGTATTGTTGCTAATAATAGAACCTAGCTATAATGACTCAACACATAAAGGTTTATCCACACACACAACTCACGATAAACAGCTCATAGCTGCTATAATAGCTCCACAAAACCATCAGGGACCCAGGATTCTGTCATTCCACTTTACTTTTTTTCCTATGTAGCTGTAGTCATCAAGGTTACAAGAAGACATCGAGAGCTCCAGCTATCACATTATTTTTAATTAGGTATACTATTATGTGACATGTATTCAGTTTGGTACTAAATGGAAGAAAATGAATATTGGGTAGGCAAATTGTACTTGTATACCATATCATTATTAGCAGACAATTTCTCACGAGTGTCTTGCATTTCTACACATTACATATGCAGAGCTATGACCTCCTTTTGTCCTGGACTGGTTTTTCAAGACTGTTTGTATAGCTAATAGCCTTGGAAGCTAGAGGTAGCATTTCTCTTCATAGCAGAAGATCTGGTTAATGTCTGGTATGATATGGTTGATTTCTCTCTCTGGGACAAGGTTAGTATGTCCCCACCCATTATAAAAAAACTCAGTTTCCCTAACCTCTGGGTTCCCTTCCTATAACCACCTACCGTCTGCACGGGCATCGCACAACCCTCTCCGTGTCACCTGTGGAAACTAAGGCTCTGGGCAAGGGCTTGAGGAAATGCTGTTAGTTGGTTACTGTGACCATTGCCAGTAGACAGCTAGCTGTCTGTCTCTACTCAGAAGTCTCCTGTCTTCTGCCGGCCTCCCAGCGCGTGTGGCAGGCCAACTTGTTAGCTTGCAAGGAAAATAAAAATCTCAGACCTTCCCAGTTCTTGACAATCACTCAGAACTCGCTTTGTATGATAAAATATCTGAGGTATTTAATGCCAAGTCATTTAGAACATAGTGCGGGGGGGGGGCATATGTACATAAATAAATTTAAAGATGAAGAAGTGAAAGTCAGGGCACTGAGGGACAGTCCCAGCTCTGTCACCAAGGAGCCCTGCAACCTTCAGCATCACTGACCCTCCCTGCCCCCACCTCGTAGCGTCCTTGTTTACTCTCTAACCCACTGTCCTCTGGCTTGGGGCCTTGTCACTCCTCAGAAACTGTTCTTCCAGGGTCTCTAGTGACCTACCAGCTGGCACAGCCAAGTGACCCTTTTCACTCCTTATCTTGTTCCTTGCTGCTCTGCTGACATTTAACTCCCCAAACTGTTGACTCCCTTGCCTGTAGGGAAATCTTTCACTGATGTCCTCCAGGAAACTCTCTCTTGGTCTCTTCTTTATTTCCTCACCCTCAAATGCTCTTCTCGGCTGTGAGTGCCCATCCTCTCCTCTGCCTAGCCCTCCTCTCACTCAGAGTAAAGCCTATGCTTATTAAAAGACAGCTTAATTACCATTCATGTGCTGATGACTTTTAATCTGTTTCAAGCCCAGATTGTTCCCTTGAACACACCAAACCTACATTTTTGACACCCTTTCCACCACAATTCACTATTTTCCACCACAATTCACTATTTCTACCTGCGTGTCCCATTAGGACTTCAAATACATGTGTTTGAAGGCAAACTCAACATTTACTTTCCTTTCTTCTTAAAACTAGTGAACCTGGAATCCATCTCTTGGCTAATGGCATCATGGTCCGTGGTGTTTTTCTTGTCATAAATCTTAAAGCTCTATGGTCAACATTGTCATCTGTGCTCTCATAACTCTTTTATCAATAGCTCCCAAATCCTATCCTTTTCCCCTTCCCACTGGATTTACACTAATTCAGGCTCTGGTTTTCTCTTGCTTCAGCTCCACCTTCAAATGTGTCTCCTGGATGTGCTCTATTGGATCGTAATTTCCTAAAAGCCACCTGTGGATGAAAATCTCATAGTGCTACTACCCTGCTTGGCTGCACAGCTGCCCCAGTTGAAAACCCACATTAGCTTCTCTCAGTCAGAACAGGAGGAACCCCAAACTCTCTAGCACCAGGTACAAGTTCCCCTAAGCTGCTGCGGCTTCAGCGCCACCTCCCATGTCTCTCTCTCCCCCAACCCATGCCCCAGCCATAATAACCACTCACAGAATTCCACCATGTGCCCTGTCAAGGCAGACCAGGGTCTTCTTCCGGATTCACTGTTGCCTCAAACCTTATTCACTTTCAACACTGAATAATCTTTTGTCTTTCAGAACTAGCTTCACTTTCTCTGATTCTGGAGATTTACCTCTAATCATCCAGCCCTCCGTGCCAGGACTGGCTCATTACTCCTGTCCTCATGCTCCTCTCTCTTCCTGGAAGACACTTTTTCTTACAACTATCAGGGCACACTGGGCTTACTTGATTATAGGCCTGAACCACAAATAAAAAATGTGACCTCTGTTTACCCAGTCTAGGGCACAAATCCAGGCACACAGCAGAGACTCAAGAGAAGTACATGGCAAAAAAGCTAAAAAAAAAAAAAAACAATCAAGAATACCAAAAAAAGGAGAAAAAAAGGCAGTCCTTGAAGTGGGAGGGAAGAAGGGACAAAATTACCTTCTTTGCAGTTCACCTCAAATAAACCCTGCAGTATTCTTAGGCAATGTTCACCCTCCTGAGTCCCCAAATAAGAAATCAGTTCTCTAAGAAGTAATGAATTGGCAATAGCACAGTGTCCTTCACCTCCCAGTGGCTCCAAAGATAAGCCACCGGGGGAAAGGGCAGCTACAAAGTGGTGGCTTGCCTTGAATGACACACATAAGAACATGTTGGGACCATTGGGAAACCGGCTAGCTAAGAGCACGTGGTCTGGCTGGACAGAGGCTGTATGTGAGGAGTAGGAGAAAGAGCACTGGGGACCGAGAAGGGTCAAAGAGGGTCCCCAGTGCTCACTGGTCCTGTTGTTGGGCAGGTTTCTTCACCTCTTTAAGCCCTTGTTTTCCCATGCAAATTGGAATCATAATTATAATGCATGTGTCTAAAGGGACAAATAAAAGAAATTCAAAGTGCTGAGAACAGTAAGTGTTCAATAAGTGGTAGCCATTACTTATAGCATAGGCAATACCCAAAACCCATATTTTTTTCTAAATATCAAGCTCCTGCATTAATGATAGAGAAGTAATTTTTATTTGAGTGGTGTGAAGATTAAATAAGAAATACATATTAATAAATTTCTTAAATTAAACGCAGTATCCAATTGGAAACCTACTTTACTGCCACTATTATGACAAGTTAAGAATCAAAACTAGCCAAAAAAGGTCAAAGTACATCTGTGATATTAACTCAGAACAAAAGAGTGGTACCTGTATGTCTGAGAAGCCTGAATAAACCGCTTTGTATGTTTAGGAAATATGTGTACTGCTATTTATTATGTATATTCAATGAAGACTGTATGATCTTTATTAAACTATTTATTAACTTGCTAGTTTCTCCCCAAACTATACCTTTTCAATGGTATTATAGTCCTTATTTTAGACTAAGAGATCCATACAATATTAATATAACTTAAATAGGACTTAAAATACTTAAGTAGGACTTAGATCTGTTCCAGCTATTCTGCAAGAGATGTTGGCTAAACAAAATCATAATAAAAATTTCATTTGTTTGGTTCAAGCATCTCTCCTATGCCCTGACAATATGTGATGGGACTCCTTTAATCTAGATTTTATTCCAAAGTTAATTTGAAATGACAAAATATACCCAGTGAATGAAATCATAAATACTTACAGTAGCATCAGTTGCCAAAGCAGGTACATAAAGAACAACCTCATGCCTGACACCCATTATCTCTGCTGTTCTCCTCGGTGCCCTCCCGAATAAGAAATTGACGGCAACATTAGCTGAGTATAACTAAACTAAGGAGATTCTATGTCTTGAGTCTCTTCAGTCTTCCCACTGTCTTCATGAATATCCTCTGATGTTCCCTTTTGTCTTTGACACCCCACAAAATTTTATCTCAGATGCTTTACACCTATATTGTTGCTTCCTTTATTTGAAGTTTTATATTAACTTCAAAGAACTCTCAGTCTTTTTGTGACACTTTTCTCAGGGTTTGTCCTTTAGGTGCAGCCTTCATTGATTTTGATTTTGTTACCAATATCCTGCCTGGTTGATAGTTCCAAGTGTCATTCCACAGACACATTTCATAAGTCTAAATTTTAATTCGTGTTTTCCCATATGTCTTATAATAGCAGATAAAAATCTCCTATCCAGGATAGCCCAAAATATAATATCAAACTTTTTAAGTTTAACTTCTGGATCAAATGAGCATTTGATATGAGACCTAGAGCAAATGATCCATCCCCCGTGCCTTCTTTTCCTCGTCTGATGTTGACGTTCTTTAACTCAGAGAGTTTTACAGGGAATAAATGAATGCAATAGTCAAGGGAACATAGCAATTATGTAGCAAGTAGGAACTCACCAAAAAAATATAACCTGGAAGATATACTTGCACACCCACATCAAATCAATCCCTTGCTTACTAAAGCTTTTGAATATTCCCACATAAACATATCTCCACCCTCATTACTTTTAAGTCCCCTCATCCTTACTCTGAATAGCATAGCAGGCTCCGAAATGTTTCACTCAATTGTCAACCATCACCCAGCAAATACTCACTTACTCCTTACTTGGGACCTGCCAGTTGGAAAGAAAAATTATCCAGAAAGGCATGATCTCCTCTAGCCTTGCCTCACCTTGTCTGCAATGCTGCAGCATTGCTGCTCTTTGGTCCCCATTGCATCCATGTCGAAGTCAGGACTTCCACTGTGTCATGACCTGCCCCTTATTTACCAGTCCATCTTGTTCATTCTTTAGTCTCTGGTGGAACCTCAGCTGAAAGCACTCACCACTTTGTTTTTCACGGAAGATGCCAAGCTCCCTTTATTCTCTGGGCCTTTGCACCTGCTATTTCTTCTGAATTCTCCCCAAAACCCACCCTACCTGTCTCCTTTTGCACAGCTAATTCTTATCGGCTGTTTAGAATTCAGTAAGAAGTCTTCCCTGGTCCTCCACTCTATGTTCCTCAAGCAGGTAGAACTCAACCGTATCAAGACACAAATATGGATGAGGTTGTTTTCTAATTTTTTTTATTGTTCCTACACAGCAGAGGGTGTATTTTTTAAAGAAAACACTAGCTAGTGTAACAAATAAGCCCTAAAACCTCAGGCTTAATATGGGTTATATGTGTATATATATATAAATAAAACATACCAATTATGTTTATGTATAATGTATTATATATAAATACGTATAATACTGAAATATTATATATAAGTATATACTATATTAAAGTATAAGAATACATAGTATTTATGTGTAGCCATATAATAAATAAAATAATTTATATATAATTATATAATAAATTTTTTTGTACTGTATGTAATATAGTAAAGTGAATTTCTTGCTTATTTAGCAATTAGATGCAGATTTGAATGGTCAGCAGGTAAGAGTACACATATGACTCAGGCATTTGTGATACAAGGTTTTAGAACTGTGTTCACATTGCAGATGCAGAAAGGAAAAGTGGGTACAAATCCTACATTCCTTAGGTTGTTGGCCCCAAAAGTGATTCTCAGACATTCTACTCCTTCCATGGATGGGAAAGCACTCTGTGGCCCCAAGGGATATAAGAGAGGCTAAGAAGTATTCCCTACTGGACAGGCTTTTGCAAAAACAACTTCTCTGGAAGGTATGGGGTCTTTCTTAGTGTTTGTTTTCAATGGCTAACACACAGCATGGCACAGAGGAGGCATGCGGTGTGTGTCCAAGGAGATGCTGCTTCACCTCTCTGGCTCCAGCTTGCACTATTCCTAATAACACAGGTAGGGGGAGATTGTGCAGGCTTCCAATACATTTTTGCAATGTGCTTTTATCTTTTTGAATTGAGAAACAGCATCTCTCCAGTCCTATGCATATCACTTTCCTTCAGCCTCCTTGCTCTGAGCACTTTGTGGGTCACTCCTGGGTACAACAGCAACAAAAAAGAGATACCAATTGTGGTAAGAAGGTGCCTCTAATGTGAAATATTAGGTTTCTTTTCCTGTTAGTCACTTGCAATGATATTTTTCACAGATCTCTGTAGCTTTCTAGAGTGGAGAGAAGAGGTAATTAAGTGCTATTTTAGTTCCAACTCAAGGCCATTGCTAGAACTTAAAGGGATCACAAAACTCCCTGTTCTATGATGTCAAATCCTTGTCATATATGATACCAACCCCTTCACATGGCCCAGGAGAGCATCACCAATCACACCCACCTCCCAGCCTGTCTGTGGCTTCAGAATGATTTTCAACACAGAGATTCAGGTTGTGACTCACAACTTAGTCTGAATGGCATTGAGGTGCGTCTATTCCTCATATATGTTCTACTCCACCAACATTTTTGTGCATATGAGGAAAGAAAAACAAAGTGACTCTACAAAGATCATACAGAAGGTTGACAGCATAGCGAAAACCAACATTTAGAGATCTTTATATCCTCAGTCCGGATTCCTTTTTATTCCCACCACTTGAAAGTAGGACATCCAAAAGCAAAAGGAAAGAAAGCCTGGTATATACAGGAGATGTATACCATATATATATATAGAAGCCCTAGTGTGGGTGGGTGAGTGGATGGGGCTGTATGCTCTAAAGACAAATTTTGAGACTTATCAGTTGGCTCTGGGCAGGCTCTGGCACTTGGGAAGTTGGAGTTTATTCATTTGCTTCTCCATGGTACACCTTGCCCTCTCAGTAAGGTGAAAAGTGCATTGCCAGCAGAGCTCACAGCCTTGCTCTAACCCGGGGGTTCTGTCCTCAGTTGTTCTGATCTTGGGCGAGTTGCTTTGCCCTCTGGACTTCAGTTTTCTCACCTGTGAAATAGGGTGATTGGAAGACAGTCTCTAAGGTCTGTTTCATCTTTGAACTCCTGTGTTCTGTTTTCTAACCGACTGCATTTTCCTGGGTATGTCCCTCAGTGAAGAGTACTTATGAGGAGGGCTGCTAACTAGGTTTGCTCTGGGTGCCCTGGCCAGTCGCCCTTGCACTTGGCATCAGAGTTGATCTCTATGAGCAAGGTGGACTCCAATCCTGACTTCACCTTGCTGGCTCCACACTGCCACTGGATCCTGCCAGCAGGACTGAAGGACTCTTCCAGCCACAAGGAAACTATTTTTGCTATTATTAATGGACATGGGTGTGTGAAAGGCATGTCCCCTGGGCATTTCATTGTGCCCACCTCAAAAAGGTCATCCTAGCTAAAAGTTCTGTGCAGAGAAATGCTGGCAGAAATGTATGGCAGAGCTCTAGCCCCCAGCTCCTGGCAAATTATCAACACCAGCAGCCTAAGAAGCTGAAAAATGTTGGGTATGCGGAGAAGGCAGGCCATGGCCATGGCATCCTGAAGCACACT